GCTCTTTATGATGCTCAATCACATGTTCGAATAACTCTACCTTCCTGAGACACGGCCTATTGGAAACAATTCCTTAACCGATTCCCTAAACCTCAACTAATTGTAGTTTTCTTTGAACTGAAGGAATTCCTGGGAACCAATTTCATTATTGGAAGCTTGAGTACTGGCTTAATCTCTAGTCGCTTTCGTCGGTAATTACTTGTTGGTTCACGCATGAATAAGCTCATCTGTCAGGATGAAACAGCCGACAGCTACAGAATACTGGATTAATAGTAGTCAAAATGGATTATCGAAAGCGATATAGGGTTGGTTCTCTACGAAGGCGTAGACCAAAAGAAAAACGCACTCAAAGTTGTTAATGGGTGGATGTGTTCTTGGGAAACCGAACGCCTTTATGGATCTTTTTGGATAGAAACAAAATAAAAACATGTAAGGCTTCGAGGAGAAATTACGATCGTCGTTACTCGATAGGGAAATGAATTAAGCTCGAACTTCAAATTGAGACCATTTTTGCCCAAAACTTCATTGGTTCCTGGGATTCTGCGGTTTTATGGAATTCTTTTTGAACTGCCATTATTTAGGTGGACAAACGCACAGGGGAGTACAAGAAATTCTCTGGCCATTTAATCAGTCTGTAGAACCTTATATGGTTGGGCTCACTGGCGCGCTTTGTCTTGACTGGACCACTATTGTTACGGGTGAATAATTACATAGGAAGACATCGTGACATCTGAGACGGGTAACCGATGATAGGGAGTCTTCAAACGGGAGACCATCCTTGATCGATTGAGTTTTATTGATTCCAGGCTTTTATGGGGGATTGCTGACGATGGATATGTGAGCAGTCATTAACCAGTAATGGACAAAATCCATTTCTGGTTAATGAATGCTCATATTTTCATTGTCCATGCTTCCCCATAAGGCCCCACATTCCTATACTAGCGTCCGACCCAAGCATGGCTTGTCTTGACCTTTAGTGGGACCCCAAAGAAGTATATGAAGTGGCCTGGACCATAAAAGCGCTCAGCAAGTGGGGGAATTTTTTATGAGCAAGTGTATGGGTCTGTCATTGTTTGGATTTGGATTTACCAAGCGGAAAACGTTCTATGCAGTTTGTATTTGCTTTGATGTCTTAGCCTAGCCCATATTCCAGCAATATAGCCATAATTGCTCAGTCAAGGAATGACTATTTAAACAAATATGGCTTAGTAAGCTAAACCTTTTGCAATCAAAACAGAGTAGGTGCTGCATGGTTCTAGTGGGGTAAGTGTTAGTGGAAAGGAAGGAAGAGCAATGGTATCGTTGTCTACC